CAGTTTTTTGTTCTTGTTCTTGTGCTCGCACAAGACGAAAACAATCATCCATATGACCTTCAACAGCTGGGATGATCTAATTAAATCAAACATAATTTATAAATAAAAGATTTCTTTTGTTGTTTTTACTCGTTTTTCTTCAACTTTTCCAATTCCTTTAATTGTTAATTCAAGTGTTTCATAACTAATCCAAAGATCAGAATCAACATGACGTATAAAAACAATCGTATCACCATATTTTACTGTTGGTACACCTAAATTTTCTTGTTCAGGCATTTCTTCCGTTTGTTTTTCCTTAATAACAAAAAACAAACATCTTAATTTAAAAAAAAATTTATCACTTATCAAAACTTTATACTTTCGACATTTTCATTTCGAATGTGACGGCAATAGCACTGGCGTTCTTCTTTGATATACATGTTACTTTTGGACCTAATATAAGTTGTCAAATCAAAAATCTAATTTTTTTCTTTTGTCTAAATTTTTTTACCATGTTCATCACCAATAACAGCTAAATAAAGACCTGAGGTAACATGTCGAAGGCGAACTAATGAACTCCAACCAACAAAACCACTATACCATCTGTAAAAAGAAAAATGCTAAATAAATATATATATGTTAAAAATTATTTTTAATTTCATACTTTATTTTAAAACATTCAATACGCCATAAAGATCGAGCTTGATGACAAGCAGCACCACTTTTAATAAATAAACTAAAGAAAAGACAAGAGAATCAATTAATTAACTTTTAAATAAATAATAATGATATGTATTCTCTTGGGTATTAGTTTATTTATTTATTTATTCAAGTGTGTTTGACCTTCATGTTCGTTCTATTATTTGATAACTTATGAACAAATTACAAATATTATTTTTATGATACAAAGAAAAGAATTCTATTTTTTACTTGAAGATTTCTCTTGAGAATTAAATTTGATTTACAATTATTCTAATCCTAAGAAGATTCAATTTATTGGATAATCCAGATTAAATGGCAATGTCAGTTGTTGCTGGTATCTTATTTGTCATTGGAACGTTCACTTTCTTTTTCACATGATTATTTATTTAATTTTATACAAATAAAAAAAATGTTACATTTTTCTGTCTTATTCAATAATATTTAAGAAAGTAACCATTTAATAGCTGCAAAGCAAAAGTTTACAGATCAACACTTTGAGGTATTTAAAAAATATAATTTTTACATAAGAATATATCTAACCCTAGGATGCTGTTCAATTTCATGCTATGACTACGACTAGTTCATGATGAGACTAAGACAAACTGAAAAAGATCTAGGTCTATGGCTTACTAATACAGTATTATGAACGTTTTAATAAGATTTTCACTGAGAGCACGACATTTCCGAAAAACCCAAAACAAAGAATTTGAAACAAAAGTGTTGCCTATAGACACGTTTGATAGTACTGAAAGTTTTAATGAAAACAAACATGTCATTCTAAGCTGAATTGCTTCTTTTTTTTGGATATTAAATACATCGAGATAGACATGTTTGTTTTCATTAAAACTTTCAAAACTATCAAACATGCCCATAGACAAAATTTCAAGTCAAAATTCTCTGTTTATTTTCACGAAAAATATAATTAAAACAATCATAATTCTTTATTAGTAAATCATGAGTTCGAATCCTTTTTGAACTTTTTTTTAATCTCACCGAAACCTACTCGTAAACATAATATGCAATCGAATGGTATCCGATGGTTGGATTCATTCTTTTATTAGCGATTTATAAAAAGAACTATTTGAATTTTTTTCAACACAAAATAATCTCTAGAAAATTGCATCTTGTCGAAGTTTCACAGTATTATTAAATTAATTTTCCTATACAATTAAACAAACAATCTTTTGAAGAAAAAAAAAAACAACAAAAGTTTCGAATGCAAAACTGAAGAAGATATTGATATTATAATTTAAATCTTTCTTACCTTCCAGAATCATCAATAACTTGAGAATCTGGTGGTGGTGTTGTAATACAATGATCCATATTTCCATGCATTAATCGTATAACATCACCACCAAGTACAAAACCAGGATTTTTAACACGTGCTACACCACTTGATATCGGTACAAGACTCCAGACTTGTTGACGAAATGATGCATTAACTCGTCCACGTTCATTTGTTGACATATATGCATGCTAAGAAAATATAAATTGATGATTTTATAATATTCAGTAAAATTTTCATACAAGATATCGTTCTGAGAAAACTGAAACCAAAATAACATCATCATTGAAGCGCACTTTTTCGCCTTCACTTCTTTGTTTTGATGCTGGATGAATAGTCCACCAACAAGATTCGCCTAGATAAAAAAAAAGTAAATATTTTTTTTTTTTGTTGAAATTAAAATTTGTCTTTATGATTTATTTTTAATATACCTTGTGCATCTTCTTTTAAGCCTACATCAAAAGCGAGCTTGTCATTTGATGTACTTGTCGATAGACAACTCAAGTACTAAATTTAATTTATTTTTAATTTATAAAAAATAAAAAACAAAAAAGAATTTTTTTTCTTTTACCATTTGACTATGATAATGTCGAAGAAGAACAGCGTGACCGTATAATAATGTTCGAAATGTTGTTTGTCCTCCTTGACTTGCAGATGACTTTAATAAATAATTAAATCTAATTTATTTCTAATGAAAAAAATATTAAATTTACTTGTTCAGTTGAGGTTGTATTGACCATTTCTTGTAAAGCTCGAACTGATACAGCTTGTTCGAGTACAAATATACATGATGCCAAATCAGGACAACAAACCTGATATAATAAATTAAAATAATTTTCATTTAAACAAACATATAAAACATTAAAATATTAGCACATTACAAAATGTGCAAATCCTCAATAGATAATTAATTGTTTTTTTTTTTTCTTTCTTTTTATTAACCGACTTTGATAAAAACCTTAAAGTAGGAAAATAAAATTTAACATGCAAGGAGAAAAAAAAAAGAGGCATGACATGCAGCAAATATGAATGTACAAAAATATAAATAATAATCATAATAATGAGGGATGTCTATTCATGTATATCAATCATCGAATATTTTCTACCTCATTGGATATATCTTCAAGATAACACATTCGATTTCCAAATACTTCACCCGATAAAGCCATACGCTTCACGCCTGATACAGGTACACAACTTAAACATAGATGATCTTCCTAGAAAAATAGACGAGATTATAAAATAAGTTAATAATAATAAAAAATTGATTATTTACCGTCCGCATAAACTGAACATCATCATCTTCAGCTCCCAACATATGTTCACCAGCCATAATTTTTTATTTTTTGTCTTTCTATATCTTATCGATATATGTTCATATACATCAGCATTATAATCATTTTGATCTTCAATAAAGCAAAAACATGAATTTCACACTTCCTTCTTTTTTCTTTATCGACGAATCAATTGAGCGCGTATATGACAGTACTACGACTGAATGAACCGGATGCGCTTTGTCTCTCTATCGATCTATATTTTCTATTTTTTCTTTATCTCTCTGTCTCTTCTTCCCCTACTTGCTTTCGTCGATCTAATAAAATCACGAGTGTGTTGCCGACCAACGATGACAAAGGACGAGAAAAGAGACAGGGACGATTTCAAGGGCACATGCATGCTATACAACGCAACAGGATGATAGTAAGCTCTATCTCATCCCCGCGCGCTTGCGCTATTACTAATAGTTTTAGATGATCGACGATATGCACAAAAGAGCAGCGGCAATGAAAAAAAAAAGAACATGATGGCAAAATACTCTTTCGTTATATATAGATATATATATAAAACGGCATCATAAGAAAGAAACAACAATTACACTCGTTGCGTCTACACAACAGGAGAAAGAGAAAAAAAGACTAAAACGAGTAAACATCATCATAAATCAATGATAATGATGTAGGTTTTTTTTGTTGAACATTTTATTGAAAAAGAAATGAATCAAGGAATTGATTAATCTTTATCATCGTATTAACAGTATATAAGATAGTTACTTAAAAATAGAATCGATAAATAGATGAGTTAGAAAGATCAATTCGAACAATAGCATCTGTCTAGTAGAATTGTCTCAGAGGAATAGAATAGATAGCAAATGATGGAAAGATACCGTTACATCTCTCCGACCTTTTCTCTCTTTTTAGTTCGATGAAAGGAGAATGAGATAGTTTTCTGAGTATGATGCGTGTGTATTTGTATGTTTGCGTGTGCTTCCATCAACAAGAAGAAGGCCATAAGAGAGTACCACCAAAGTAAGAAAGAAGAGAGAGAGAGAGATATCTGGAACGAATTGATGAGAAATAAGAAGAAGGAGAAGGAGAACGAGAAGGAGAAGAAGACGAAGAAGAAGGATCCACTAACATCGCTAACCATCATTTGTCTGTCCATATGTTAAGGCACGGAGAGTAGGATATGGTGACAACAGTTGTTGTTTCTAACATCGTTTATGTTGTTTAGCTAGAAAATGTAATGCATAATAATTCACACTACCGTCGTCAAGAACAGCACACAAGCAATGAAGTGCTGATAATCAGTGCTATAAACATACTGAGAAGAAAAAAAGGAAAACACTGAAGATGAAAAGAATTAAATGCTTCCCGACAGTCTAAGTCGATCATACACTCCTTATTGTCAATGTTAGTTGTTCATTCATTACGTTCATTTCCGTTTGATGATGATGATGATGACGAGTGCAAATAAAAGTGCACATGCACATTTATCTATCAAGAACTCATTGTCAAGACACAATCTCGTTTTTTCTTCCAAAATGCTCATATAAAAAAAAGAAAAGAAACCATTCATGATGTTATTTTTGTCATTAAATATTGATTAGTTTCAATCAATCTTTTTGATTGACAATTTAAACTGATCAGTCAAGGTTAACAAAAAAAAAAAAAAGAGGTTTCTTTCTGTTTTTTCTTATATTTATAAATCAAAGATATCCGATTTCTATTACGAATATAAGAGGTCACTAGTCTTCAATTTATTCTATAGATATTTGATTTCGATGAATATGTTGAATAAGTTCAATAAATGCTGCATAACTCATTGTTAATAAATTTATATAAGCTTTTTCTGTTGATATTGTTGGAAATAATTGTTGTTGATGTTGTGAAGGAAATGAATTAAAACATGTTTGAGATATAAGAAATGAAAAATAATCTAATAAATCTTTATCATCTTCAATTTGTAATGTTATTAATGTTTTAACAAGTTTATCATAATCACTTGTTTGTATTGATATTGTTCGCCAATATTTAGGTATATAAAACGTATCATTCTTTTCTTTGGACGATATATTATCATTAATCATAAGATAAATATCACTTTCTTCTATTTTTCGATCACTATCATCCATATGCCATGTAGTTATATGTTTTTTTATTTGAATAAATGATATATCTGTTTGTGTTAAAAGATTTTCTTTATTAATTATTATTTGTAAATATTTAGTTATTTTTTCAATAGTTAATTGATCAAGTCGACTTAGAATTTTATCTGGTAAATCCATATGTGGATATTTTATTTCATAGATAGACCAATGTTGAATTAAAGATGATTGTTGTTCTTTATGACGATTACGAATTTCAATATCAATTTTAAAATTATTTAATTTATCAATATCATGTAGTTTTAAACATACATCTGTATTTCCTAAAAGATAGTATATATCAATATATGATGATTGATGAGAATATTTATCCTCTGTAATTGATAATATATTTAATTTCGTATTTAATTTAAATGGTACAATCGAAAGATTTTTTATATCATTTTGAATATTTTCATCATTTGATGTTAATGGATAAAATAGTCTCCATTCAAAATATTCATCTTCAGGCATATTTATATGAATAAAAATTACAAAAATAAAGACGAAGAAGAAGAAGAAGAAAAAAAGCGCAAATATTCCAACCCATATTTTCTTTTATTATTTCTCATTTTATTTTTTCTTCTTATTTTTTTTTAATCGAATGTTTATGTAAAATAATTGCTAACGAATAACATTTTATCGCAGAAAATTGTAAGACAATTTTTACATTTGTTTTGCAGGTAATTTTCCTGCAGAAAAGAAAAATTTAACGGATGATTGATGGCCTTTCTTTCTTTTTTTTTCTTTTTTTTCTTTGCGTCGTTTGCACGTACAAAACAAAAATTGTATGATGGCTATTGTGATTGTGTATCCTGAAATTTGCCTATCATTTATTTGTCTTGCTTGTTATTCAAAATACATATCATCACGTGATGTTTTGTCTCGCATTATTTTGTTTTAGATATTTGTTTGCTATAAGAAAAAAACTATGGGAAATATCAGTGACAGTTTCTCTCGAAGGTAAACTTTTTAAATTTACTTCTCGATATTTAAAGTCTTTGTTGTTTTTTAGAATAAATACAATAAAAAAACGACATCACACAAGTAATGGATTGAAACCTGTTAGTGCTTTACTTATTGTTGATGTGCAATATGATTTTATTGACGGCACATTAGCTCTTAAAAATTGTCCAAGTCAACATCAAGGAGAACAAGTTATACCACTTATAAATAAATTATTAAATGATGTTCAATTTGATCTTATTGTTTACACTCAAGATTGGCATACACATGATCATATATCATTTTTTGAAAATTTACCATTACGTGCACATCTACTTGCACATGATTCTAAAAAAGTTGATGAATTAAAAGTATTTGACACAGCTATATTTTTATTAGATGATACAACAAAAACAAAAAAAATGCGTGTGGAACAAATACTTTGGCCAACACATTGTATACAACATAGCCATGGTGCTGAAATACATAAGGATTTATTGATAGTAAAACCAAATAAAAATCGTCAAGTTCATCATTTATACAAAGGTAATGATAGTGATATTGATTCATATTCAGCATTTTGGGATAATCAAAAAATTCGTGAAACAGAATTGAATTCAAAATTACGAGAAAATAATGTTACAAATGTATTTATTGCTGGTATAGCAACTGATGTTTGTGTATATTCAACAGCATTACATTCCGTTGAAAATGGTTTTCGAACATTTATAATTGAAGATGCATGTCGTGGTGTCGATGTAACAAATATTAACTTACGTCTTGATGAATTAATTAAACGTAATTGTGTAATTGTGCAATCAAATGAAGTTAAAGACTATGTTTGAACATTATTTAAAAAAAAAACAACAAAATCTTTTATATCGTTTTAAGCGTAATATATTGATTAAATAAGTGACAAAAAAGAAAAGGAAACAATATCGAATTTAAGTAAAGAAAGAAAAAAAAAACAAAGAGACTCAATCAATTAAAACAAAAGAGGAAAATGAATAAAGGAAATAAAAATCAAAAAGAAAAACACAAGAAAGGAACAGAACTACATGATAAGACAGCTGGCATGCTTGTTGAGAAGACGATGACCTGTTTGATAATTTTGAAGAAATTCTAATTGACGAATATTGAATGAACCACGACGGCGTGAACGAACAAAATCAATAGATTCTTGTCGGTTCATACCAGCTTCACGTAAGGCCATAGCAACAAGAACAGGTGATCTATTCAAAATAAATCTATAGAATAAAAAGAAAAGGTTTTGAGAAGAAACAAACTAACCGTCCAAGACCATGAACACAATGAACAGCAATACAACCATTTTTATTTTCTCTAACAATATTCAACCATTTATCACGGACAATTGAATCAGGTGCACTTCCATCGGGATATTCAAGATTCTTAAAAGAAAACATAAGTATAAATTTTTACTTTTCTATAAATAAATTCTATTCATATCTAGAGAAATCAAGGAAAATATTAGAATAGGCAATGTAAATTTACTTATCATTTCCGACTTATTTTTCTATGCTACAAAAACACAATTTATAGTTTCAGGGTATTAAAGCTATTTACAATGACTCAGTATTAAAACATTGTTTTCTATGTCATGAATAATTAATACATACATAAACTTTAATGCCGGCTGCTTCAATTGGTTTTGCATCATAAGTTTTTTCTGAGACACGAACTAATACCGTAACACCATATTTTAAACAAGCCTATGTATATAAAGAATATGTAAAAAAAAAAAAAGTTATTTCATTTCTCTTTTCATACTTCAATAAATGATTGAACATTTTCATCTGCTGGACTATTAGTAATTAGAAAACGAAGATGTTTATAACGAATTTCCGTCATTGACGGATAATTGAAAAATGAACCCATTGGCATATTTGAATTAATTTTGTTCCTTTTGTTAATAAAAAAACCTTTTTTCTATTTTTTCCGTTGAGTCTCTTTTAATCTCTAATTTTCGTTGATATAAGACACCAATCAAATTTATTTGAGCGATATCGATATGGATAATATCGATAATAAAAATATTTAATATAACAGCGTACTAGTCAGTATTGCGCTCGGCAAAACTCGCCCGAGAGCGTGCAGTCGTGCACGAATTCGGTCTAGAAAAAATAACAACATTCAATATGAGAATTGATTTCTAAAACCAAATAAAAACATCTTACCGCTTGTTTTCGCGGGTTTTCAACCTGAACAGTTATAGTCATGGAATAATGGAAAGGCGCTTTTCGTCGGAGCTCTCTGAGAATGTAAAATGAATAAATATAAAATCTAAAAAATATAAAAGATTGTATAATCAAACGTGTTTACGCATCGAATTATAATAAATGAAGCTATTGAATAAAATGTAACCAACGAACATATTTGTCCTCATCTACACCCACATATAAATTTCAAGGTTCGCATACTCGTACGCACACATAAATACATAGACGGTCGTTAGACGAAAAGAAAAAAGGAGCAAACATTTGATGTCGGTAACGAAGAAGATGAGGAAACGAAAAGAAATGAAAAATGAAGCGACATAAAATTTAATCGCTTTGATTTTATATATACTATCTCGAGATAGGTAAAGCATACGTCATTTTTACTTCAAGTGATATGTCATGAATTGTAAAAAAGTGAAGAAAAGAAAAAAAGATTTTTTTTTCTAAAAACTGACACAATCTGTCATAAAAATTATGTAAGACAGAAAATAATTATGTTGTAATACTAACGATATATGACTATTGATTACATCAACAAAAAATAAAGGTTAAGACTTAACAATGTGTGAATAATATTGCTGTGAAGAGTTGCTACAAATGCAACAAACAAATTAAGTGGTAACCTCTCGTTCTCCTGTTTTTGTTTAAGTACGTTGTTTGCTTACTGTAGTTACATACAACTATCCTCTATCAAGAGTAGAAGGAAAGAAAAAAAAAACATGAAGCAGATAAACAGCAACGGTTACCCTACACATCAGTAACCAATTCAGGAAGAACATAAGCAACACCCACATATAAATACAACTATTTTCTCATATAGAGTATGCCATGTGCCAAAGAGCAAATAAAAAAAAATGGAAAGAATAAGGACCTTAATAACAAAATTAAGCATAGGATGATCATTTTTTTTTCCTCGCATTCTTCTTATTAAAGCAGATGGTAAAAGCTCGACTGGTTTGACGTCAGTAGGGGGCAAATTAGCCCATTCAATACGAAATAAATACTCTATTATGATGTATATACATTTTTATGGCGTTTAACCTCATATTCTTTTATGTTGATTTTCTTTTATCAATTCGGTTATATTTGCATAAGCAATAAAAAGAAAATAATCATTCGTCAATATTGCGATGAAATATATGAATGATGTAACGTTATTATAATAAGTAACCTGATTTATCGATTTAAGTTTAGACAAAAATAGAAAAGTACATTGCGAAGCATGAATATATAAATATAAACAAGAGATAAGAAAAGCTTTCGTATTTTAATTTGCGAAACTACAAGGAAATTGATGTTTTTTTTAGAAAAAAAAGTTACTCTCTTTAATATGACGTTCTGTTCTAATTTCTTTTATTGTGACATAAATAAACGTTGATCGACGTAAAAAACTAAGAAAAACAGAGGTTTTTTCTATAGGGTTAATGTTATGCGTAAATCAATTTTGTCCTTATTGAAAAAATATTTACCAGATTGCTGCACATAATTTTTTCGATTTAACATTAACATATGTTGACATATTGTATTATTTAATGTAAATTTCATTTTACATCAATGATAAATCATGAAATATTAGCTTATCATAATAACATAAAAATGTACTTATAATCTTAAAAAATTTTACCTAGTTCGTCTAGACTATGTTCAGTGTAATGTTTTGTTTCCGTGAGTAATTAACAATATGAACAGCAAAAGATGCATGAATATCTTAAATTTTCCTTCGATTTCCGTTTTTTTATCTTTTAAAACATAAATATCATGCTCACTAAAAATCTCATTAAATCAATAGATAATAATGGATATAAAACGAGAAACTTATTAACAAGAATATGCAACGGAGAAAAAGAAAAACAAATATTCTGTCATCAATAGAATTCCGTACTGCAACAGAAAAAAAATACAATAGTATAACTCTCTTTAACCAAAAGCAAAACAATTAGATCTTACTCAGTATTTATTATGAAATTCAATAGATGAATTTATTCATTATGAATTCAAATACTTGCATTGTTTGTACTTAATTATAGATTGTGGCAATCAAACTGAATAGCACTCGTCATTAATAAAATAAACAATTGTATCAATCATATTATGGCAATGACTTTACTGAAGTTGAATTAATATGTTGTTTTCTTATGAAAATATTTTATTGCATTCTAATAAACAAAAGAAAACATTTGATAGGACACATATAGAGTTTTATTTCCGATTCTAAACAAAATTGATGAAAAAAGATTGATTGGATGATAAAAAGGACAAATGAACAATTAATAAAATAATGAAATTAATAAAAAAAATCGAAAATAAAAGAAAAGAATTTTCTTTAAAATATTTTATTAATTAAATAAATAAATTTGTTTTTTTATTCGCACAATTCTTTATTTGTTATCTAGACATTATATCATTGGTTAAAAATTGTGCTCTTTTTTGTTCTTTGTGCGAATGTATTGATCGAAGACAAGAGAGCGGGAATATGTTCTATAGATATTAATTGTTTAACTTGATTTTCGTTATTATGGAAGAAGTTCAAAAAACTCAAAATGATGAATCATCATCTGAAGATTGGAGTAAAGAAAATCTTTTATTTAAAAAAAATGTTTTTCATTAAAATTTATTTTTATTTTTTAAGCAATTACTTTTTGTGTTATCGGTAAAGCTTGTTCAAATACTCGTTTACTCTCCGCACTTGAAGATCGTTATGCATATGAATGTATAAATAATGAAGAACAAGTTCTTCGAACATTATCCGAAACCAAACAATTATTAACTAAACGTCAATTACGCATATATGTCATTGAATCATTTGATGAAAGTTTATTTTATAATTTAAAAGAAGATGAAAATATTTACATAATTAGTGCTGAACTTGTATTAACTTGTGCTGAAAAGAAGATTGTATGAATTTATTTAATATGATTGAAATAACAAAAAAAAAGAACTTTTTTTTCTTATTTAAAGGATATTCCGGTACCACGAAGAAATCGTCCATTGTATTCACAACATCTTTCTTCAGCTATTATTTGTTTTGTTGGTGGTACTCGTCGAGAAATACATGTAAATCATTTTTTTGATATACAATCTAAAAAAAACGGCTGTTGAAGTACATGAATAAAAATTCCCACAGATCATGATACACGCTAGACAGAGATTATCATGAGAGACTCTAGACAGACACAAGGATTAATAACGTCTCGTGATAATATATGAATTGCTTATTGCATTTCTAGATTATTAAGGGTAACTTCTTCTGCTTCATGATTCAAAGTTTTTGTACCGATTGTAGTACAGTCTGATTTTATGTATCTATAATGCACATTTTTGAATTTTTCTCAAAAGAAAGTTTTGAAAAGAGTAATTGAAGTTTTCTCTCGAATGAGTGAGTATAAACTTTTTGTATGATAATTAGGATCATATCACATTGTATATATACTTTTTTTTTTCGTTAAATAATGTTCTGATGGTGTTTGGAAGGACTTAAAGTATTTCAATTCTCCTAAGTGAAGTGGATAATATTTCTACACTCTAATTTAGTTCTAATTACTATAAGGGAATATTCAATCCAAAGAAAGATTTATAACTGTTTAAGAGAGAACTTCATGTCGATTTTCACCTTTGTATTGCTTATACCTCGTAGACGATAGCATTCCGATCTACCTACATTGAAATTTTGAGAATTTTTCAGAAACTCGGGAAGGAGATAAGTCTTGAAGTAAAAGGATCATATATGTTTTTGCTAACAGCTTTTTTTTTGTATAACTATTATGTTTGTTTTGATTTTGTAGACGAAATTTAGTGATATTGTTCATTACCTGGGTGGATCAGTTCGAAAAGATTATGGTGATCAAGTAACTCATGTTGTTTCATTTGCTAATCTTGGTGAAAAATATCTTGTAAGAATTAATTTTAAGTTTTTCTTTCGAATTTTGTTTTTGTTTTATATAGACAGCTTTTAATATGGAAAGAAGTGAAATTCTTACAGAAGATTGGTTATTAGAATGTTGGAAAGAACGTGATAATCGTACATTTGATGCACTTAATACAGATTTTATTCGAATGTATCGTGCAAAACCATTACATAATCTTAATTTGTTTTTTTTTGGTGCTGCTGATGAAACTGAACAACGACATTTACATACACTTACTCTTGATAATGGTAAATAATTGAATTTAATAGGATAGAATTAGACAATTTAGTTTTTTTTTTGATTAGTTGTGCTTAACGATCGAATGAGTTACAAATCGATTTTGTGACACAAAAAAATAGATATTTAATACTGTTTTTCTTAGTCGTTAGGATATTTATCTTATTTTGAGAAAGCACACATGTAGTATAAAGAAGGATATATAGTTGATGTAAAATGGTTCTAAAAATAATCTTACTGTTAAATACTTTTTTTATCTTTATGATGGCCCCCTAGATAACTAAATCATGAAAACCATTCAATATCTTGCCTTTCTTTCATCACTCGAGCTGATTTGTTTTTCTCGGTAATGAAAGACTCGCTAAACTAAGTCAAGGATAAAAGAAGATGATGATAACCTGATTGACTTATTATTATATAAAATATCTGCATTCAAGGAATATTTAATGATATGTTGTTCGTCGAGTTGTAAATTTATTGAGTTATCGAACTCATAATGAAAAAATTTGCCATGGATCAAAATTTTTCTATAAATCAAAGAAATGAGTTTGAACTGATCTCACGAACATCAACATCTAAAATACTATATGCACTTATAATTTCACATCTCTATTTGACAATTCTTCTATCACGAAGAAAAATAATTCAGTTCAATTGATGAAAACAGACTGGAGAGATTGTGTGTTATCATTGTCTAATTACTTATGGCTCATTCTACATATATATATATATAGATCTTGATTAGATTAACAAGAGTGTAGTAATTAAATTTGCGGAATAGTCTAATATTTTCAAGAATGAAATATTGATTTAATTTGAAATTCTCACACAACCATCATTTCTGCTTAATAAATTACAAGACTTGTTAAAGTAAAAGTGTACCCTAGATTTACGCTTTCTAGGCTCAAATACTTATCTCTTCTATTAAATTGATAAATATGGACAGTGGCATCACATAGTTCACCGCCTCCAGCAGTTGATAATAGAATTTTTCATTATAAATGAAGAAGAACTATATAAAAACTCTTATCTAAATCAACTAGAATCTGTCAACATTTTTCTTCGACGAATAAGATCGCATGTTTATTAAGCATTTTCAACAGTAAATAAGCTCAATGAAAGTTGTGAATTGTTTTCATGTTTGTACCACTATTACTAATTTCAAAATTTAAGTTCGTTAAAGACACCCTACGTCTATTTGATCAGACGTCGAAATTATTCCAACTAATAAATTATTTTTGGTTTCGAACTCTATGCACAAGATAGATCTCAGTGAAATATGAAAAAGATAAGTACTCCTAGAGCTTCGTTTAAGAATTATAGCCAATATTCTTAAGCTACGGCATCGTATGTATCGACAAACTGAATGACTGTATACTACCGATATGTGACTAGAATGTTCTTCATGAGATATTGAATTTTTGAAAAATCATCCATTATCCTGCGAAGATTATTTATACATTCGAAAACGTTTCATATCTCAATGGAATCTACCTTACAACATGGAGTTCGAACGAATTTCCTCATTTAATAACTGTTTAGCTTATCCTCGAATCAATAGAATAACTAAAAAAAATTTTTTTGCATAATTTAGGTGGATTTACTACAAATGAAATATCCGATGCGACACACATTGTCTTTTGTAATGGTATGGATGTTAATATATTTCTATCTGCTTATCCATTATACAAACGAAAACATCGTCAACATATTGTTAATGTTCAGGTAAATATTATATAATTATCACCAAAAAAAGAAAAAAAAAAATTTTTTTTTTGTTTTTCAGTGGTTTTGGGAATGTTTATGTTTAATGGGTAAAGCTGATGAATCAACATATTCAATAAAATTACCTGGTATGAATGAAACAACAACACCTGATTCTCCACGTTCAACATTACTATCATTATCAACATTATCACCATTATCAACATCAATAAATGATTCAAATTATATACAACAACATAATACAACAACATCTGTTAAACGAAAACGACGAAAAGAATCAAATACAAATAATAATGATAATAATACAACACCAAATACGAAACGTTTTAATAGTAGTAATGAAAATGAAAATGGTCTTGATGATGATATGATTGTTGATAATTATGATAAACAACAAAAAACACCAATTATAAAAAAAGATAATAAATATTTAATTGGAATGGAAATACGAGAAACAGAAAAAAATTATGTTACGATGTTATCAAATATAATTCGTGTAAGTTATCAAAAAATAAGAAAATCTTTCAAATGTTTTATTTTTGATTTTGTTTTTTCCTTGAAAGTTTTTCAAAACAGAAATGGAAAAAGATGATCGTCGTAATGGACCTATATTAACAAAAGTTGAAAGTACACAAATATTTGGTAATATTGAAGAAATTTATCATTTACATTTGACTATTACCGAACAACTTGATAGAGCTATTAATGAAGATGCTTGTATTGGTTCAGTTTTCTTAGCAAATGTAAGTTTTTATAATAATAATTAATAGTATATATTTAGAGAGAGAAACCATCGAACATTATATACATATGATTGAGTAGTTATACATTATGATGAGTGTTTATATACCGGCCCAATTTTTTTTCGCTATTCTAGAGTTCATTCATATCTCATCTAAAAAAAAAACTCGTACTTCTCTCGCAGAAAATGTTGAATTAAGGCAAAGACATTCTAACACTAGATCGTCAGTAAATGTGAGCTCTATTTTCTGGCATGTGAGAAAAGTCTCCGAAATGGTTTAATACTTCAGAGTTGAAAGCATGTGCATTTGTAAACTATAATCTGGCTCGTAAAGAGCTCGAGCTAATAATTTATTACTTTCGAGATACTTCTTTTTTTAGCAACATGTCGTAGTATCCGTTAGAAACAAGTCTTGACAAAAATAGTTTATTGTAAAAGTTTCAGATATTGTTGTTGTTTCTATTCCAATATACAGACATGTTAAAAGCGAATCTTCAATGTCACTGATATAAATCTGCACATTCGATGTTCTTCTTTCAAAAATCGACGTTCGATAACTAGTTTTCTTGAGAGAGACCACAGCTTTGTATTAAAAACGAAATATGTCGGCAGTAATAAGTGAAGATTGTGAGTATTGATAATCTATGAGGATCTACATAATGCACATACTAGAGGCTGGGAATCTACCCGACGGACTTTAGTCCCAGATCGAAAAGAATTAATCAGTTGTGGGACTTCGCTCTTTAGTAAATTTTTAAAATTATTTGACAGAAAGTCTGATAAATACTTCAGTATAGGTTTTTGTTCACACAAACATGTGTTGAAAGCTTATCTCTATTGTCTTATGAATCCAAAAATTTAAAATAACTTGCATGTTACTATTTGGAATCAAATATTTTGATATAAATTATTAAGAGAGTACTATCAATTAGGATATGTCTTCTCTTACTTACTCAACATCCAATTCACAAAGATTGTGCAATTGTTTTTGTTTTTTTTGGAGAAATTTGACTTTTTCTCATATTTGAAAGGGTAAGATGAGGAAACACCCTCCAAAGATCTCAGATGTAATCATCCGTTACCTGCTTCGAAAAAAGAAACTCTTCCAAATTGTTTTATATCTCATTTGTTAAGAACCTTCAAGTGTGAGTAAATTATTTATTCAGGCAGTTTTTTTTTATTTCACGCTCAGATGAACTACGCTCTTGAAAATAATAATTAAAATGAACTTTTACTCGTTGTTTGAATTAATATTAAACCCACAAGAATATCTCAGCATGACTAGAAAACACTTAAAATATTTGAAATTTTGAAGTCGAGTTAATATTGTTAGACTAAATTTTCAAGCTATCTTAATCAATATATGAAACTTTATCATTAAAATTCTCAAATGTAAAATATTTTTAGGCTACCGAACTTTTACGTGTTTATCAACCCTATACAAAATTTTATGATAAAACAATTCAAGCAATACATTCACTTGAAAAAAGCAATTCTCGTTTTTATGCTTTTCTCAAAGTAAAAAATTATTTATTAAATTTAAATATCAAAAGATTTCGTTTTTTTTGTTTTGATCTATTTAAAAGATTTGTGAACATAAATCAGAATTAGGCAAACAACATTTAGCAGATTTAATGATTCGACCAATTCAACGTTTACCAAGTGTTTTATTACTTTTAGAACGTCTACTTAAATATACTCCAACAATACATAATGATTATCAATTATTAACAAATGCAATTGATAAATTACGTGAAGTAGCAAAAAAATTAAATGAAGAACGAGGAAAAACAGAAAAACATCTTTCATTATTCAGTATTGTTAATAGTATTGATAATTGTCCAGTAAGAATTCTTTTTTTTTTAACTATTTTCTATATTTTTTCGTTTTTTTTTTGTGTTAATTAAATTTAGCCCGAATTACTTGCTGCACATCGTGATTATTTACAAAAATTTAATTTAATTGAACTTTCACAAGAACTAACAGGAAAACGAACACATTTAACACTTTTTCTTTTCTCCGATTGTATTGAAGTAAATTGAATTTAACACTTGAAAAAAAAGGTCTCTTTTCTTTTTATTAAATTTATTCATTTTAGATAACTAAATTACGTGTTAATACATGGAAAACACCCGGTGTTAAATCAACTAAATCATATAAACATGTTGCATTAATTCAACTAAGTGATATACGTAGTTTATTCGATATAGCTTCATCATCATGTGATGGTAATATGAAAAAAAATAAAAATTTTGCGTTTATTAATTTTTCATTTTTTGTGTATTAAGAAAATGAACAGTTCGGTATGCTTTGTTCAATAGATGGTCAAGCACGTCAATTAATATTTCGTGTTGCTGATAATAATAATATGTCAATATCACGTTCACATTTAACCGATTCAATGACATCATTAACATCTTTATCAACTATATCGAGTTTAAATCAAACAAGTAAAACAGAAGTTTTACATCATTTAGCTAAAGCTATTGCTGAAGAACGATGTCTTCTTGATAAAGTAAATTAATAACGTATAATCAAAAAGTTTTTAGACAAAATGTTTCTTCACTTTTGACATATTTTCGACGAGTCTATTATTATAATTTAGTGCTCTTTTTGAGAATAGACTTTGTTCCAGAGTAATAAATTAATGTTTGAAAAGTTCAAAATAGCATTTATGTAAACGGAAATTGTAGGTCGATATTTCCACCGGATATGTTTCCTCATTTTGGCTTGCTTGAAAATATGTTAGATAAGCAAAGAACTATAGGGTGTTGACTTGACTCTGATCATAAGATTAGAAATGTCTTGTCTATAGCTGTTAAAGAGTAGTAAGAAACTATTTGAAAGACTTGAAAAATTATTTTCAATGATGAGCGCACTGGTCTCTGTTTATCCGATAAGCGATTGTTGAAGATTGTCGCTATCTATGGATATTACACGATTTTCTAATAAAAACTTCGAAAGAACTAGAGTTGCTATGAAAATTTTACTAGGCTATTTGAATTTTTTTCTAGAGGCTCTAGAGTTTCAGACGATTCAAATGTTGATCTAAAAATCTGTTTATACAAAGAACTCAACTGCACTAGTTTCTATTAAAAGATTCAGAAGTTTTGAATAAAGCGTTTGAAAAATGCATGTATAAACTATTCCTAGAGAAGAATTTATATCTTGAATGTCTCATATTTCGAAGAAAGTTTCTTCAAAACTCCTGAATTTTTTTTTTTATAGAAGCTAGTTTAATTAAGTTTTCTATATGGGCAAAGTTTCAGATTAAAATATGAGTTTTCTAAAAACTTTGTACCTCGAGAAAAAAATTTCATAGTTTAGTCAAATATCAATATCAACCTAAATCATTGATTACATTTTTCAAAAATGTCTATCTAGAAAATATAGAAATTCAAGTGCCTTGTTCGAAGATGAGAAAAACTTCAAATAGTGCATAAGTTCCTATTCAACAAAAGTAAAAAAATCATAGCTTTTGACTCGTCAGAAATACTTTCTAGTGTGTCACATCTTGTTTAATATAAACTTTTCGATCATTCATTAAATCATTGATATATATATATTTAGACGTCACTTATTGAAAATGTTGGACCAGAAAATGGAGCATTTACACCACTTTCATCAATGGATTTTATGAGTGATAATGATACATTATCAACTCATTCAACAATGAGTGCAACAACGAGTAGTGGATTAAATTCAGTTGGTAGTGCATTGAGAAGGTATAAAAATACATAACAAATATTTCATATAGAGAATAAACATCAGACTATTTTTTTGATAATTTTATTTGTATTCATTCTATAGACTTATGATTTATATGAAAAATCACTCCATTCAATTCTTTATAAAAGATTATATTTTAGAGATTAACACATAATCAATAAAAATATTTCACTTGTAATTATTATCAATTATTGAAAGAAAATTGACAATACTGTGAACATGAAAGATAGATTGTAAAGATTCATCGAATTTTCAAGAGCTTATATCAAAATGAGATGATGATTTGAGGCACTGCGTTCAGAACTTGAATGATAACGACCAAGTGTAGAGTTCCAAGAATGTAATGCTCTTCGCCGGAAAGCATTTCATCGAAAGACTCGCGGTATACTTTAGACTATTGTGAGTCCTGTACTTCTTATACAGGCTTGTTAATCATGAAAAGTTCAACTCATTTTGCCTTCACTGTCACCTTTGCAGCGTTCTCTGTGATCAAAAAACACTTTCGAAGAGGCGTTTTTCTGCGAAGAGCATACATCTCATATATGTCTTAAATTATATATTAAAATGGCAAAGACGTCAATATTGAGAGTTATTCTTCAAACATAAATAACCAAATAGTTTAATTCACTATATGATAATTCTTAATTCATAATCTTTTATAGAAAATCAGACGGAGTATTTTTTTTTCTTCTGCCATCAAAATCACATGAGTCTATTCGATAAAAATTGTTTGATGTTGATTCTCTATAGGATATTGATTATTTTAATGATTGATTAATTTTATTTTTTTTTTGTATTCTTTTAGTAGTTTATATAAAGCAAAAAGTCGACTTAGTCGAACATTTTCATTTAGTCCAATATCATCAAAAAATCGTTTAAAAAAAATGTTAACATCGAATAGTTCATTATTACATATAAATGATAAAGATAATAATAATTTTAATACAATGAAACGATTAAGTGTACCATCTCGACAAGATTCATTTACGAGTGAACGTCATTTTCCTCAATCACCGTCGAGATTTATGCATTCAATAAAAGAATGTTAGTCAAAAATAAAAGAAAAAAAAAAGCAACAAAGATTTTTATATCAACAAATAATTTACTCTCTCTTTATATATATATATATATTTAGATTGATCTTTTGATAATATATTATCAATTCAATTCATCTTTATTTTGTCTCGTCTAATATAACGTTTTTTTTTCTTCTTTCTTTTTTATGTATCTATGTGAATTTTGCTCTTGAAGAGCATGTATAGACTATCTAAAAAAGAATAAATAAATGCACATCTTTAACGCTATTAATCAATTGAAAAGAAAACAATATTTCTATACATTATTTTTTTATAGAAAAACAAAATAATCAAATTATAATAAAACTGAATTAGCTAGGACATACTAACGTCTAGGATAATTAACCATTTATCATTCTTTTTACACAGTCAATAAGGAAAAAGTAAAACCTATTATTTTGTCATAGCGGAATAGGAAACGGAATTGTTTGTCTTACGGAAAGAATAGATTATTTTTTTAATGTTCTACGTACTTAAAGATATTTCAAAACAGAGAAAGGAAATAAGCATAGAGAAGCTTTGAATATATATATATATTTTAATCATGATTTTTGGTTTGAATATTTTTACATCTGTTAATAAAAAGTCAGCTAATTTTATCATTAAGTAAAAACAAGAAAAGTGTGTCAAAATTCTTAAAAAAGAAAAGTATTGTATCTGGAAAACGGGCAATCTTCTGACGTACTTTGTAGATAAAAATGGCTTTATTTTTCATGTGTAGTGTATACCAAAAATAGGATAAGAACAAACATTTTGAATGTTTTCCAGATGGAATAGTGCTCTTTGTAAGCGGTGTCATGCACCTTTTATGATTAAAATAGTTCGTTTTTTGTTGTTTCCTGACTCGATATTGAATTTACAATTAAATTAGAAAAAAAAATAAGATAAATCATATTTTGAAGATTAGTCCTGAATTTAGATTGATCGTGTTTGGAATGCACTAAAAAAATATCCAAATGGATTTGTTTGAACATAGGAGAGTTGCACGTTGAACTTATACAGAGATAATTGAAGTTTGACAATGACAATGTCATACTTAAATAATAGATTGATTGTTCATTGTATTCAAATAGAATATTAATTTATTTCAATTGAAATTCAAAACTAGACAATGATCTTTTCGTGCCTGTCTCATTATGTGAAAATTTTTTTTGTCATGATTGATTAAAAAATGGTTTTTACTTAAATAAATATCAATTGATTGATTAATATATTTCATGTTAGTAATTTATTCCACACCTAAATGAGCTATAACACATAATCGAACTTTTCCATATTTAGAATATTTTCAGGCTAAACTTTTTTTTGTTTTTGTTTTTTTTTTATCGATAATCTAGTTCAAGATTGTGAATGATGTGTATTGCCGACAAACTAACAGATTTAATATATAAACTATTCATATGACATCTGCAGATCTGGAAATATTTGAATTTTTAAGTAATTACAGAAGTGCATCAAATATGTTAATAATTTAAAATTTCAGTAGGATTTAATATTCTTTTTTTCTCATGGTTGGATAAAATTCGTCAATTTACATTAAAATACTTCTTCTTATATAACTTGATAAGCTTTATTCAAGCATAACAACAAAAGAAATCATACTGATGATGTTTTGAATTATTCATTTATTCGATACACTTCTATAAATCTCGTTTAAATTCGAATGTGTCAAAGTATGCACGACAGAAAAAGATTATTATTATAATTTATTAGTATGTCATTGAGACCTTCGATTTGAACGAAACATCATGTCCACGATTCCAACAGACGCCCTTTCATAGTTAATAACTTATATATAATAAAAACTTTGAGAAAGCATAGGAAAATAATCTCCTATAGCGAGTTTGCGTACTTATATTGTTTTTCTTAGCAATGTGTATCAAGTGGAAAATATCATTGTTTATCTCCCTCGATTGATGTTAAGAAGTGCTGAATTTAGATAAAAACATATTATTAAATAAAAGTTTATTTTTAGAATTAAAATTTGAATAATTAATCAAGATTAGTAATAGAAACAAATGCAAACAAAGAATTATTTATACTTTTTAATGCTGTCAAACAAAATTTTCATATTCTCTCTCTCTATGCTCTATCTAACATATTGTATTGTAGATGGAGTACATCATCTTATCTAACCATTGGTCATTATAAATTTAAATTGAACAAAGCACAATTGATTATTGGAACGAAAACACAAAAAAAAACACAGATATTCTGTATTTTATATGTATCATATATCATTGTTCTGAAAATTAGGATAATATATTATATTTATTATGTCTACATTACATAAAAGATTGGCTCGTAAACATCATAATGGTTCGAAAAAAGAAAATCGACCGAATACAAAACAACAAGAACAAGAGCAAGAACAAGAACATCATCAATCGATATTTCTTGATTTATCAGATCAATCACGTGCACTTTATTATTTAGGTTTAACATATCATTTAAAAGCAAAAGAATTACTTTATTCAACAGGTGGTATACTTAATGAGAATATTCGAACATTACTTAATAAATCTATTGTTTATTATGAGTAAGTTTATAGATAATGAAAGCAAAAAACTAATTTTCTTTTATTATCTTATTTTCCTCATCTATTATTACGAATACGCTGATAGTTAATGAATATATAGTTATTTATTCTAGCCTAATTTTTTCTTCCATTATCAGAAAAAAACACATACATTTCATCTTTTTCCTCTTTTTTCTCTCATTTGCCCATTGATATAATGATGATGATAGATGGATGGATAGTCGTGTATGCTTTTTTTAGTTTTCTGCTTGTCTCTCATTCTTATGCAGTTAGATTTTCCGCGTGCATTACATTCATTCTCGCTTACTTTCTTTTCTTTTCTTGAGTTGCTCATATGTTAGACTTGCTCAGTTTCCTTTTTGTTTTTTTTCAGACACGCTTGCTTTCTCTCTCTCTCTCTCTCTCTCTCCCCGAAACTATCTATTTAAGAGGTTAGTTGAATGAAAAAAAAAAGGCGGAGAGCCAATGTGGATGAAGCAAAAAAATAAGAGGCAGAGAAGCAATAAATAGGAATAACGAAGACCATCATATTGCTATTTTGATTATTTTATTTCTGTGTGCACGAGATAACAAAAGGTATATAAATTACAGACTTGAACAATGTATTTTCCAATGATAGTATTAGTTTGCGATCTTTTTAGTGCAACAAGATAAAAATCGGATGATTGAACGCATTGATCTTAGTTCGTTCTATCTTTTTTTTTTCTTCTTCGAAATATTGACAGTTGAAGAACGCTCAAAGAGTAGGCGTGGAAATTTACATAGTCATATACTATAGAAATGATAATTATGCGCCTGTTTATAAGATGAGTTTAATTTAATCACGAATGATAAGCATCGTGCGTGCTCGGTTTAATCTCTTTGGGTTAGATGCATAAAATACACATGTGTATTGTACACTATATTTTTATAGAAAACTGTCGCAAGAGACAGTATTCTTCTTTTTTATTTTCATTTTTGTTAATCTGTTTGTCTGTTATATTCGATGAGTGATGAGAACTCAAGCGAGTAGCTGCATAGAACCTTATCATGAATTATTGAATTCTACTCTTGTTGTCGGTTGTTTTCTAACAAAACTGATCATATAAGTAATACCATCTCTATATTATTCGTTAGATAAATGTGAACAATTCATAGAAAATTTGTTTCCTTGAAAAATTTCTATATGAAACTTATTTAAAAACAAAAGACTAACTTATACATATAAATTACCTTTTATGAATAGCCTCAAGGGAACTTCTCGTTCACCTATTCGATTGAATATTTGTTGAGATGACAATAATAAATGAGGAAAAAAAACGCGTAACAGAAAGAAAAGAATTTTATATCGTTTATGTTATTCCCTATTTTTTCGGTCGAACATGCACTCAACATTCACTATATTTCTCTCTTTTAGGAATCTAATTAGTTTGAACAGAAGAATAACGACAACAAGTAACAGTTCTTTCTCTTAGTTTTTTCTTGTCATTCTTGTTGCATTTGGACTTTTTATTCTCTCCTAAAGAGATTACATGTGAATAGAATAGAGCTGATTTTTATCAGACATTCATAAATGTGTAAAACAATGAATTCTTAATTCGAAATAAGAACAACTTTAAGTAAAAAATCTCACGTAAGTTGAATTAACCGTTACAAGAGGCAGGAATAAAGTACTTCGTTTTTCCTTTCCTCGTTTCTTTCTTTCTTTCTTTTTTTTTTATTAATTGTTCATCGAAAAAAAAGAACTTTTTGATTGTTGCTAGCACAATCGAATATGACTTTTAGGCAATCAAGTGATTTCTAGAAGGCGACAACGACGAGAGTAGCTGATTGCTTCTTTACATAAGTGTCAGAATAGAGAGACGATGGGAGACAGAGAATAGGCTGGTAACAGAAAATGAATACGCTTATGAGTAATGCTATTTATAGAAAAATAAGAGGTCTATGTATACAAAGACCATGTATTATGAAGGAGTTCGAGTCATTTCTTTTTTTTTTTTGTTGTGGCCGGCATCAATACTCATGATTGTCTTCAATTGAAAAGTATCTCACGCGAGTATAACATCAATAAAGAGTTTAGAAACTTTTACACATTACATTGAGAGAAAATAGCTCGATGTACCCATAAAAAAAGACATCATTGTTCACTTTCTTACCACTCATGGTTGGTTACTACTTCGTCACTCAATTTAGCGGGCACATAAAAAATGACGATAATGTTCATTTTGTGGAAGAACGGTATTATCTAGGCCTTCCTTTCATTACTCTGTTCTTTTCCTTAGATAGAACATGTCAAACAATTGTCGTGTTCTATTCGCATAATTGCATGATGGATGTTAGTGGTTGTATGTGTCTGTTTATTGCGCATATGTATCATAATACAACAGATAGAACATGTCTCATTTTTGTTAGTCGTTCCATATATTCTAGCTCTTGTTCTATTATAAATATATTA